CTTTCCCTTTCTGACACAGACTGAAGCAACGGAGAATTATTTTTCTGGACTAAGAAACAGTGGGAGGATTTGATAACAACAAACTGGCACTTAGTTTGCACGGAGCCAGATTTGTGTGCCCTCAGAAGCGGGCTAAGAAGTGGGTGATATTGCTAAAGCACAATACACATACTGAGGCAGGGAGAGGGAAGGAGAAAAGGAAGGGGTTGAACACACTGTCAGCTAAAGAGCTGAAAGCCACACCTTGTAGAAAAGGGTTGCAAGTAAGATGACTTACATTGAGATTTTAATTTTGGCAGCAGCAGATGTGAAAATTAAAGTGACTTTAACTGGCAAGCAAGCATGGCACAGAAAGGTTTTAGTAACAATGGACGGGATCAACAATCCAACTGATTAAATACTTTCATTGCTGAAAACCAACACAGTTACGAAGTGGCTACCGTACGATTCTTCCCATAGTGGCTCATTTTGAGTTCCTTTATTTACTTTCATAATGTTATGTAGATAATAAGGAACTTACTGTTAAGAATACCAAGGAACTTGCAGGATGCCTCCAGGGGTCTTGAGGAACTGATGACTTGCTTTAAAAAACAAAAAAAAACCAAACAAAAAAAGAAACCCAAACAACAAGGCCACACCCTGACCTTAATTATGTATACTATGATGCCTGATGCAGCCTGGCTGAACTCCCATTTTGCTAAGATTGCCAGAGCCATAGCAAAAGAAATTGAGAAATTGAGTGGAAAGGGGGAGGTTTGGCTCTCCCTCTTAGGCTATGCCACACTCAAGATTTTCTTGACAGACTTCAGGATTAAATAAAGACACAGCCAACAATCAACAATAAAAAGGCACTTACTGCTTAGCTATGTAGCATGGGTGAGGCCTCTCTCTTACTTTTTAGACCAGTTTCATAAAACTTTGTCTAAAGGCAAAGAACATTATGCTTCTTCGTAAAACAATTAATAAATGGAAAATCCCACATATATGTCAAATACAATTCATAACTAGTTATATATATATATTTTGATAAATACATGGAAGCTTGCTCTATGAAAAACTGGTGTTTGCCCCATAATACAATGGAAATAAAATGATTCATGATTATAGTGAAGGTTAGGGACAAAAACTCATTTCTACTTTTTTTTAATAACTGTATAAACAGACAAAACCATAAGTGAGAGTCCTGTGACCTCAAAAACGGTTTAAACTTTTGTCC